GGAGCGTGGGCAGGGTCTTTCAGGACGGTGAGTCGGAGCGTGGGCAGGGTCTTTCAGGACGGCCAGTTGGAATGTGGAGAGAGACTTCCAGGATGCTCTGTCCTGATGCTGGCCCACGGGCGGGCAGCTTTGCGAGACCTGCGACAGGCCTTGTCTCGGCAGAAGGCAGAAACCCCTCATTGTATGTGTGGGTGTATCTGAGAGTGACTTTCTAGACCAGTGTTGTTGAAAGTGGACACTGTCGCCCCCCTCCCTCTCTGGGAGTGCTGGAAGGATCATGAGGTGGGGCGGGGCATTATTATGCAAAAGCAGAAACCAAAGCCACACTCACCACCATGAGTCGATGCCGACTCATAGCGACCCTACAAGACTGAGTAGAACTGCCTCTGAGTTTCCAAGACTGTCACGCTTTCCGGAGTCGAAAGCGCCCCGTCCTTCTCCTGGAGCAGCTGGTGGTTTTGAACCGCTGACCTTGCAGTTAGCAGCCTAAAGCATAACCACAGGTCTACCACGGATCCTGAGAAAGAGGTGCTTGCCTGCACTGTATCCTGTATGTAGGGCTTTAGTGCCAATGTGATAATTGCCAGGGGAAGGGGAGGTTTTTGGCTGTTGTTTGTTTTTCTGGAAATGGGAAGCCACGTCCGTTTGGGAGCCCATGCTCTGGAGAAGTGGTGCTCCCCCTTCCTCATGCTGAGACCCTTTCATACAGCTCCTCCTGTGGTGGTGACCCCCCAACTGCAACATTATTTTCGTTGCTACTTCATCACTGTCATTTTGCACGGTCCCCACAAACGTTCACCCCGTGATGGTCTGAACTCAGGCCCCTCTGTAAAGACAAAAAACGGTTTAGCTGTTCACACAGGAGTTCGGGCCATATCTGGGAGGGGTCCTAGATTGTGATGGGTGTTACAGGCCTGCCTGAGGGGCAGCAGGCAAGGTGGGACCCTCGAGGGATCCGAGGTGCCCTGGGCAGCAGTGGTCCAGAGGGGAGGTTGGGGGGCAGGGCCCCCAGCTGGGGCTGGAACATCCAGGACAGGGTAGCTCTCTTCCCCTGGAGAATGGAGCAAGAGTCCTAACTGCTTTAATCCCTGAGCTCCTTGTTCCTCCTTTAAAGCACTCCCTGATCCCTGCTGGGAGAGGGAGGTGCTAAGAGGCTGCTGGGGTGTGGGGCGGGGCTGAGGGGAAGGCTGAGTGTGGTGGCCAGAAACTGGGGTGGGGCTGGGCAGGAGACCTGGGCAGAGCCTACAGGGGAGCCTGGGTGGGACCTGTGGGAGACTGGACAGGGCCTAGAGGGGTTGTGGGCGGGGCCTGCAAGAGGACTGGGCGGTGTTGGGGGAGTGGGGCGGGGCTGCAAGGACTGGCAGAGTGGTGTGGAGTAGAGTGGGGGGCAGCCAATGGGGAGTAGAGCTGGGGCTGGCAGAGAACCTGGGCGGGGCCTGCATGGACTGGGGTGGGGTCAGCTTGGAGTAGAGTGGGGCAGGACTGGCGGTGGGGGGTGGGGGGCTGGGATGGAGCTTGGCCCAGGCTCTTCCTGTCTGGTGTTGAATCTGTGCCTGAATTGATTCATTCCTCACTATCCTTCCTGCCACTGAACACAACCTGGGAGTGTAGTGGGTCTGCTCCTGCTTCAGGACGGTCCCCACACAGGCAATTGGCGCCATCCCTTGAAAAATCCAGGTGAATTCCCAGAGGAAGGAGGAGCAGTTCAACCTTGCCCCCCACCATCACATGGGAAATTCTGCAAGA